GCCCAAGCGAGCTCTTAACCAACATTGTCACTCGGCCGGCCCAAGAACATTTTTTTCAAATAGTTTATTTCATCAGCCTTTCTGTTAAACTTCTAAGTGGAATCTCTGGCACACTGATTTCATGTGATACTCTACCCGTGTGTCTGTCACTGCTGTTCTCGCCCTGGAAAGGAGGTTCCCTTTGCCTCTAGGAGGATAGCATGGGGTGAACTGCAGGTGTGAGCCCCAGTATACAATATGTTCCCTTATATTTGTGAGTGTTTTTAACTTCTCTTGTCCCCTTATTTTTCATCATAACTTTATATATTAAAGCCCCATGTATATGCAAAGTGAGTATGTCAAATCATTAAATGATACTTTAAAAAAAAAACGAAATAAAACTCTTATTTCTACTAAATCTTTTACTCTTCCTTTTTAGTAACTGAATTCTTTGTGATCCGCTTTCTTCCTTGACTCGCCTGTTTAATTTTACACCGTGGTCCAGTTGGAGACGGTTGATTACCCATTTCTGTGCTAGGTAAATTTGGTGACCAGCTAAAGGCCCTTAGCTCAGGCTTTTAAATCGTCTGGGATGCTCAGCAGTGACTGAGAGCTATCGTTTGGAGCTCCTCTTAGTGACTGAAGGGCTCACAATTTAAAATGTAGACAACCTGCCCAGACTCATTGGAGGCTCGTTCAAACCTTTAGTCCAAAGGCTGTTGAATGGAAACTGAGTCTGGTATGCCTGGATTCTGCGTCTGAAGGAGAGTTTAGTTGGGCTGTATCCCCACTGAGATCAGAACTCACATCGTGCTCCTGCTGTGATCCAGACTTAATTCTAAACTTCTTTTCTATGATATTTTTCACATTTTTTGGAAAGAATAGTATATATGGTGGTAATGGTTTTTGCCCTGGTAATTATTTTAATGAGTGGAAAAAGTTAATCTCCCCATTTCCTGAGTGTACCATCCTTTTATTATTTATTTGCTGAAATAACACAGAGTTGTGTGTTTCAGGCAAACATTGCTGACTTTCAAGAGAATCAGTGGGTCACTTGTTTCCAGGAGTCTGCGGAGGCTGTCCTTGGACAAAGCACCACTTATCTTGGGGAGTTAAAAGAAAAGGTCGGCCATACCTTTTATTATTACTGTAATAGTTTTTGTGCTGTAACACTGCTCTCTAATATTCTTTTGGTTTGTTTGTTTTGGGTGTTGTATATAGTTTCTCATCCTGATAATTATTTGAGGTGCTCATCTGATTTTGTCTAATTTTGTCTATCTTATGCTAACAATAAAGTAAGGTAGATAAAAGTGCCTTAAAAACAGCACTATTTCACCTATTACTGTTAGCACACCAAAATTGGTGTGTCTGCGATGACGTGCAATATGGAAGGTATCTCCTGAAATAACCTGAAGTATAAGTGTGCCTTTTATGTTTTTTTNTATATTGGGTTGTCAGAAAAGTCATGATGTATTTTGTGTATGTTTTTCAAAGGTCATTTATTTATATAAAGAACAAAGATCAATCAATGATATATTGCCCGTTTTGTTCGATAACCTTTTGCCATCTTGCGGTGAGCTTCATAATTCCTTTCATAGAAGGAGCTGTCTTTATTTGCGAAAAACTAAACAAGGTGCTGGTTTACAGCCTCATCTGAATTGAATGTTATACCACACAAGGAGTTTTGAAGAAAGTGAAACAAGTAGAAGTCTGACGGCTCAAGGTCAGGCGAGAATGGTGGGTGTGGCAACACATCCCATCCAAGCTCCAATAATTTTTTACAGGTGATCAAACTTGTGTGTGGTCGCGCGTTGTCGCAATGGAACACAACTCCTTTACAATTAACAAGCTCTGGGTGTTTCTGGATGATGGATTCTTTCAAACTGTTCCAATTGCCAACAGTACACATTCAAATTGTTTGGTTCCTTGGTAGGAGCTCCAAAAACATGACTCCTTTAAAATCCCACCACACTGAGAACATAACCTTTGTCTGATGAATGTCTGCTTTTGATGTCGTTTGAGGCGAATCATCATGTCGGTACCACGACCATTTGCGCACCACATTGTTGTCAACAATCCACTTCTTATTACCAGTTATCAGTCGCTTCAAAAAAGGATAATTTTCCTAACGTTTAATGAGCATATTGCAGATTTTATACATGCCGTCAAATGAACAACTTTGAGTTCATGCGGAACCCAAATATCGAGCTTACTTACGTATCCCAGCTTCTTCAGGTGGTCGTGAATGCTTGAATGATGGATGTTCAATGTTTCTGCAATCTCTCGTGTCATACAACGTGGGCTTGACTCAATCAATGTCTTATTTTGTCATCATCAACCTTGGTGGACCTCCCTATCCGAGTAGCGTCATTGAGATTAAAATCACCAGCACGGAATTTCGTGAACCATCATTGGCACTTACGTTTTTGTAGAGCATTGTCACCCTAAACTTTACGCAACTTTTCACAAGCTTGACGTGCGTTCTTCCCTTTATGGAAGTAAAACAGTAAAATACAGCAAAAATGCACAGTTTGGTTTTTCATTTTCAACTTTTTGTAAAGTCTCCAAAACTCAACCAAATCCCTCAATTTTTTTTTTTAGAGGGAAGCTAGAACTGTTAGCTGTCAAATGACATAGCAATAACTTAGATGTGAATGACTCTAGTACTTCCAAAAACGAACTAGTGCCATCTGTTGCAAACATGCGTCATGACTTTTCCGACAACCCAATATATATAGCTCACACTGAGCATCAGGCAGGCCCGATGTCAGACATGAGGCAGTTCACATGTGCTTTCACTGACAGAATATTAACCCCTCCTGGGCTGAGAATTGCCAATGTCCTCCGACAAGAATTGACTCTGGCATTTGACTTTCGTCGCAGCTTCCCTTTCAGTGTTTGTATTTAACGACCCTCCCATCTTTTTTTTTTTTTAAGATTTTTTTGGGGAATTGGGGAAGGGGAACAGTGTTGGGGAATCGGGGAAGGGGAACAGACAAGGACTAGTTGTGGAGGACGTTACCTCACTGGCCCATGTTGGTATTATCATTGCACTCTTTCCGGCTGAGTCAGATCAGTTGCGGCCACTGGATGGCCGCTCATGCCAGCTGCCAGCCACTCACGGTAGCTTATGGCAGCCCACTGCAGCTTCACTGCAGCCTACGCCGTCACGGGTGACTCAAGGCAGCCCAGCTCCAGGTCGAGCTGTTGTTCACTGTCTTAGCTGTAGAGGGCGCAGCATCACTGGCCCTCATGTGGGATCTGAACCGGGACCCTGCTGCTCAGAGCTGGTGTCCCAAGCCAACTCCTAACCAATGTGCCACTCAGCCGTCCCCCTCCTCCCATCTTGATCTAAACCTATATCCTGTCAGCAGTTTAAAATTTAAATTATTTCGTTTTCCTTTACGCTTCCCCCAAAACAGCAATTCCTGTCTTATTATTTTCATATTATACAATAAGGTTTTGATTCCTTACTGTCTCATTTTGCTGTACTCCCTTATCCATCATTGTCATCAGCTGCAACTTATAATGGTTGTACGGCTCCTTGGAAGCTAAGCATTGGACAGATGTGTGTTGTCCTGTCATAGAAACAGCCACTCTTCCGGTTCTCTTGTCACCCGGTTTCTCTCTTAGATCTAAAGGTAGACAGTTTTGTAATAAGAAATCAGGCCTAGAGAGCACCTATTTACGCCCAAACTTACAAGTCAGGCTTTGAATCTGCACCTTACCTGGAAATACAGAGAAACTCTTGAGGCGTTCTCCTGGGAGACTTATTTTCTGTAGAGCCCTCTGGATTGAGGACTCATCCAAGCTCTTTAAATGTCCCCATGATTGTTCTGCCTCTTTTGGTCTGAAACATCAGGAAGCCCCAGAAGTTGCTGACCTGGCTCCAAATTCAGAGTATACCCAGAGGGAACTGTTCACCCCAAAAAAGTATCTATCCCATATCCTTTCTAAGAGAATTAAAAAGCAAAACAGGACCGGCCGAGTGGCGCGTTGGTTAGGAGATGGCTTGGGACGCCAGCTCTGAGCAGCAGGGCCCTGGTTCGGATCCCACACGAGGGCCAGTGACACTGTGCCCTCTACAGCTAAGATGGTGAACAACAGCTCGACCTGGAGCTGGGCTGCAGTGGGGCTGGCTGGGAACCAGCATGAGCTGCCGTCCAATGGCTGGCAAGCGACTGCCTCAGCCAGGAAGAGCGCAATGATAATACCAACATGGGCCAGTGAAG